CAAGTACAACCCCGACTTTAAACAAAGCTGTGTATTATGCCCTCTCCTTTTAAATACATAGCCAAACAACTTGGTATAACCTCACTATGAAAATTAGATCCATATCTGCCTTTAAAGAAAAGAAAAAAAAGGTTTCCAATTATTTTAACGATCAGAATGTTACAATTCTTGTTAACTGGGTTTTCCCAGTTATAAATGCCAAAATGGGATTAAACACATAAGGATTTAATTAGGGAAATACCTATGAAAGAAAAGGTGAGGTGAACCAGAGAAGGCTGTGAGGTTTTTCTGGCCACAATGCACGGACAGTGAAGGAGAAGAGGGGAAGAAGGTTGGATGGAAGTATCTTAAGACTCTGCGCAATCTCAAGGAGGTTCAACGTGGTGGTCAGAGGAGTTCTGAGTCCCCCAATAAGGGCCTGTTTTATGATCCCTGTTGTCCCCAGTCCTTACTGGAAGCAGCCCATGGGAAGTATGGCCTCACTGCAAACACAGGAATGGTTTTGAGAGTATGGGAGCTAGGGCTTATGATCAAGTTCTCTGTGGTTAGAGGTGTGCAAGACACATTCTCATGCCCACCACAATTACTTTCTTCAAATAGTAAATATAGTTCAGGATTCAGGAATTAGTTTCATGTAAAATATCCGAAGCCACCTAATCACAATTTCTATTATACAATAGGACTTTCCTTTTATCACTTCAAATAAGATTGGACACATTATAAAGTAAAACAACTACTCAAAACAAGATACTTCATGAGTTGGGAGCAAAGGAATTTTTCTGCCAAGGTCCCAGCAATGAACTGGTTTGGGGAAGTTAATAATTCAACAGAACCCTGCCTATTAATATGGCATGGGACCCTGATTTACCAGTAAATATTCTAGCCATTGCTAACAGACATGCGCCTTTGATGCTAGACTTATTACTAATCTTGTAGGCTACTTATGAAGCGTGCTCCCTTTCAGTGGGTGAGACCATCTCATTGCTTGAACAACCTCACTTGTGCCTGTGTCCTTTCTACCTCGTAGAGAGTATCAGAAGCTGAATTCCCATTTATTGTATTAGCTTAATCTTCTACTACAGTCTCCAAATACTGCCTGCTAAAGCCATATCATGATGTTACTATAAAACATCACTTAGTTAACAAAACTAAGTCAAGAGTTTTGCAGAAGGAATATCTGCATTAGATATATGGTTGGACTAGATGACCTCTTAGGGTGACCAGTTGTCTCAGTTTTCCAGGGACTATCTCCAATTTTAACACTGAAAGTCCTCAAACCCAGGAACCCCTCAATGCTGAGAAAACCAGGATGGTTCATTACCCATTCTGAAGTCCCCTAAATCCTAAGACTCTAGGTCAGTGCTGTTCATTAGAACTTTCTACAATTTTGGGAATGTTCTATAGCTGCACTATCCAATTCAATAGCCTGAAATGTGAACAGTGCAATTGAGGAACTGAATTTCTAATTAGTTTACATTGAAGTAGCCGTATGTGACAAGTTGCTACTCTATGGGACAACACAGCTCTTAGGTGATGCCATGAAAATGATCACTAATGAGGTGCTTCAGGCAGTATCCCTAAGGGAAGTACAGAAGTCCCTCCTCCCATCTATGAGGGATACGTTCCAAGATCCCTAGTGGATGGCTGAAACCGCGGATAGCATCAAACACTATATATACTGTACTATGTTTTTCTATACATACATACCTATGATCAAGTTTAATTTATAACTTTAGCTCAGTAAGAGATTAACAACTAATAATAAAATATAATAATGATAACAATATACTGTAATAAAACATATAAATGTGGTCTGTCTCAAAATACTGTGATGATGTAACATGACACAATGCCTATGGGATGAGCTGAAGTGAGGTAAATGATGCAGGCACTGTGATGTAGCATTAGGCTACTATAAGGGTTCCTTGACCACAAGCCCTGTGATATCACAACAGTTCATCTGGTAACCTAGAAAGCTACTCAGTGATTAATGGGTGGACAATGTGTAAAATGTGGCTACACTGGACAAAGGAATGATTTATGACCTGGAGAGTGAGATGGTGTGAAGTTTCATCACACTACTCAGAATGGTGCACAATTTAAAACTTATTAATTTTCTGTTCCTAGAATTTTCCACTTAATATTTTAGGCCATGGTTGATTACAGGTAACTGAAACCACTGAAAGCAAAACTGTGGGTAAGGGATGACTACTGTATGCTGAGAAGTGGTATGATTGCACTCGTGTATGACACTCAGCCCACAGCTTTATGCCCTGGACCCATTGTTGTACTGATAAGGCAACAATGGCATATTGATAAGGCCTACCTTTATCACACTTGAGCTCAAAGGGGAAAAGCAAAGATGGCCCTTAGAGAAACCTGTGATGTAAGTTGTGTAGTAAGTCTGAGTTTCAGGAGGCGGGTAATTACATTCAAATAAAAACACTAGTAGTTAGTTAGTACTTTGTGGTTTTGCTGCTGAGACATAAGCAGTTGCGGATTTTAGGTATATGAAGTGTGAGCCTGTTTTAAGGTTTAGTGAAGTTAGGGCCATTATACCAAATTAAGTTCTAACTTGGCATGAGGACTGATTTAAAATTTTCTAAGAGAAACCCAAGGAACTGAAGTTTGTTTTATTATATCAAAGTAAGCAGTCAACAGAGAGAAAAACCACATTACATCCTAAGGGAGCAAGAGTATTTTCTTGAATTGCAGAATGTTGACACCATACATCTGTGTCATAACCGACATCAAAGCTCTTGGTTATAAATCTTGCAGATAACTGATCAACCCGAATCCACAAAGGCAAAAGTTGAAAGAGAAGCTGGAACATTAGAAGAGGCGAAGACACTCCGCAGCCCCCGCAGGAGTTGAAGCCAGTTATGGTGTGACATATATCTTCACTTTCCCTAGGACTTGGCTGTCCATTTAAATGCTAATGTGCAACTCTGGCATATCCTAGGAATTAAAAGTGCTGAAGCAGGCAGCGGGAAATTTCAGAACATTGTTGACTCTCTCAGTACTCACATGCTGCTTTTAAACGTGGGTTCAGGTGTGCTTTTAAATGCCCGAGAGCAAACCACAGCTCTCACTGTACTCTGCTATGAATTCTTTGGCAATGTGTCACTTTTTAAAGAAAGCATGAGTGAAGTTCTGAGTTGTTGAGTGATTTTTATTAAGCTGTTTATGAAGCAAAACAGAAGGTCATCACCTAGAATTTATACATAAGGTTTTAATTAATGAAAAAATTTAAAATTTTTCTTGGTTAAAAAAAATACATATCTTAAAGTCTCAATCATCTTCATCTGTGAGAATTGAAACTTGTCAGGCATCTACGGTGAATTTCAGGGTTTTGTCTCATTTTCTTATTCTGTATTTATATAGCATGTCAAAGCCATGTTAGTATAATATCACAGAGCCAGCAATAGGCAGGCGCTTGAGAGGTTGTAATAACTGTGATTGAAATTGATGCCTTGAGAAAAGGAAGACGCTCTCCAAAGGCTGGGTTTCCAAAGGCTTAGTTATATAGGGAAGTGTAATTGCTATATGGACAACTGCTACACTCTCCAGAGAGCACAAGTCCTTGGCATTCATTCAATGCTTATATATAATCTTCCACTTCTCAGGCGTTGAACTGGGTGCTGGGGATATAATAATAGCAATAGTAAAGAGTATTCATATACTGATTGCCCTGTGACTAGTACTATGAAAATTCTTTCTCAACATATATTAACTCATTTAATTCTGTGAGGATGTAATCCTATAAGGCTGTAAGCATCCTTATGATGTATTTATGGAAGGGGAAACTGAGGTATGAAGATTATATAACTTGACCAAGCTAATATAGCCTGAAAGTGATGAAAATGGGATTCAAACTCAGGTAGTATGATCCCCAAATCAGTTAAAAATACTATACATAGTCTCTTAATCCTTAATATTACATTCTAGTAATATTTTGACCAACCTGTATTCCAAATTTCTTTAGGTAACTGGGTTTTTAAAAAATAAAATCCTGGCTCTCACTAAATGCCTTGAGGTTTTCCTCACAGTGTGGTGACTTGCCCATATTTGATTTTCCACAAATGTTTGTAGTGCAGTGAAGTGTAGAAGGTAAGGTTTTAGATCCAGAGGAACCTGGATTGGAATTCCAGCTCTTACCCTTCCCCAATACATGAACTCAGTTTCTTCATCTGCAAAATTGGAATAATGGAATTACTATGCAGATTAAATGAGATAATGCTCTGAAGTTTTTTGCACAGTATCTGGCATACTACTGGCTTATGACAAATTGCTCACAGTTATTATTTGAATAAATTATGTGTTTTAAACAAGTGTGAAGCATGACTTCCACCTTAAACTAGAAATGAACTTAGAAATATGGAGCCGTAAAAGACCGAAGAGGGCCTAGTCCGAACCCTAGAGCTGAGGAAAATAAGGTCCAGTCAGATTAGAACCCTGATCCCTTCATGTTCACTCAGTTCTCTTTACACAGAGATATCCTTTCTTCCCTCAACCTCTCTCCCTCCATGTCTTCCCTTCTCCTATTCACTTTATTCACTCATTCAATATACTGTTTGTTAAGAACCTACCTACGTGCCAGGCTCTGTGATAAGTATAGTGAGTGGTGGGTTTCCACTCCTGACTCAGTTTCTGCTCTAGCAGTAGCTCTTGGAGTGTGGACCCTGGGCCAGCAGCATTCACATACTTTGGTGTGATGGTTACTTTCATGTGTTAACTTGACTGGGCCATGGGGGCCTAGTCATTTGGTCAAACATTATTCTGGTTGTGTCTGTGAGGGTTTCTCTGGATGAGATGAACATTTGAATTGGTAGATTGAGTGAGTAAAGCAGATGGCCCTCCCAGTGTGGGTGGGCTTTATCCACTCCATTGAAGACCTGAAGAGAACAAAAAGAATTAGTAGAAGAACCAGTAAGAGGGATAATGTTTTTTTCCTGCCTTTGGACTTAAACTAACAAAACCTGCTCTTCTTGATTCTCAAGGTTGCTGGCCTTTGGACTAGAAGTTACACTTTCAGCTCTCCCAGGTCTCCAGCTCACAAACCACAGATCTTAGGACTTCTCAGCCTCTGTAATCAGGTGAGCCAATTCCCATGAATGAGTCAGTCAATCAATCAACCAATCCTACTGGTCCTGTTTCTCTGGAGAACTCTGACTAAAACACTTGAGAATTCAATCCAGGTTTCACCTTGAGAATGGGGCTCTATAATCTTCTTTTTATCAAGCCCTCCAGGTGGTTCTGATGTGCACCAAAGCTTGAGGGTTACTGTTCTTGAGACTTGCATCCTTGGCCTGACCAGTGAGGAGGGCAGAATTTTAACCCCAGCAACGCTGAACTCCTGAGTCTTGACGTACTTTCAGATATCACAAATGAATGTCACTTCCCTGAACTAGCCATTTTGACAGCATACTTTCCCTTCGGTAACAACCAGGAGGCCCAGGTTGACTAATCTTTTAATGGGCTTAGCGTATAAAAGCGCAAACGTGAGTATGCTGTGTATTTATTGTTGTTGTTCAGTATAAGTATATTCTGAAGACTAACTGAAACAGGTAAGAAAGCGCTCCTCAGACACATCAAGGATTCCAATTGCTTTTACTTTTAGTGTGTGATGGATCTTACCTAAGGCAACTGCAGGGACAATATAACAGTTTTACACCACACCACGTTAAGCAGGGCCCGCTGGAGTTCTGTGATGCTCCCTCCCCAGATGCCCTGATCTCTATTACTCCTTCCCAATGATTAAACATGCAGCCCTGCCTCAGGCTCTTCGAGGACAATCAGAGGGGCAACAGGAATGCGCTTTCTGCTGTTCGGTTACCAAAACACACACACTGTCCTCAGGCCTCACTTCATGTCTGTGTGTCACATTTTGGTAACTATCGCAGTATTTCAAACATTTTTGTTATTATTACATCTATTAATATTATTTGTGATCGGTGATCTTTGATGTTACTATGGTAGATGTTTGGGGCATTGTGAACCATGTCTATAGAAGGTGGTGGACTTAATTGGTGAATGTTGTGTGTGTTCTGACTGCTCTATCGATCAGCTGTTCCCTATCTCTCTCCCTCTCCTTGGGTCTCCCTATACTCTGCGACACAACAATATTGAAATTAGGACAATTAATAACCCTACAATGTCCTTTAAATGTCAAGTGGAAGAAAGAGTCGCACATCTCTGCTTTAAATCAAAAGCTAGAAATGATTAAGCTTAATGAGTAAAGCATTTTGAAAGCCAAGATAGGCCTAGGCCTCATGCTCCAAACAGTTAGTCAAATTGTGAATGCAAAGGAATAGTTCTTGAAGGAAATGAAAAATGGTGCTCCAGTAAACACAAGAATGATAAGAAAGCAAAACAGTCTTATTGCTGGTATGGAGAAAGTTTTAGTGGTCTGAACAGAAGATTAAACCAGCCATAGCATTCTCTTAAGCCAAAGCCTAATCCAGAGCAAGGCCCTCACTCCCTTCAATTCTATGAAGACTGAGAGAGGTAAGCAGCTTGCAGAAGAAAAGTTTGTAACTAGCATAAGTTGGTTCATGAAGTTTAAGGAAAGAAGCCATCTTCATAATATGGCCTCTAAAAGTGCAAGGTGAAGTAGCAATTGCTGATGTAGAAGCTGCAGCAAGTAAGGTGGCTACACTAAACAAGAGATTTTCAATGTAAATGAAACAGCCTTTCATTTGGATGAAGCCTTCTATTGGAAGAAGATGCCATCTAAGACTTTCATAGCTAGAGAGGAACAGTCAATGCCTGACTTCTAATTTAAAGAACAGGCTGACTCTCTTATCAGGGGCTAAAGCAGCTGTTGACTTGAAATTAAAGCCAATGCTCATCTACAATTCTGAAAATCCCAGGGCCCTTAAAAGTTATGCTAAATCTACTCTGCCTGTGCTCTATAAGTGGAAAAACAAAGCCTACATAATAGCACATCTGTTTACAACATGGTTTCCTGAATGAATATTTTAAGCCCACTGTTGAAACCTACTTACTGCTCAGAAAAAAATTTCTTTCAAAGTATTTCTGCTCATTGACAATGCACCTGGCCAACCAAGAGCTCTGCTGGAAATGTACAATGAGATTAATGTTTTCACGACTGCTAACACAATCACCATTCTGCAGCCCATGGATCAAGGAGTAATTTCAACTTTCAATTCTTATTATTTAAGAAATACATTTGTAAGGGTATGCCTGCCATAGATAGAGATTCCTCTAGCGGATCTGAGCAACGCTCACTGCAAATCTTCTGGAAAGGATTCACCATTCTATATGCCATGAAGAACATTTGTGATGCATGAGCAGAAGTCAAAATATTAACATTAATAGGAGTTTGGAAAAAGTTGATTCCAACCCTCATGGATGACTTTGAGGGGTTCAAGACTTCAGTGGAGAAAGTAACTACAAATGTGGTAGAAATAGCAAGAGAACTAGAATTAGAAGTAGACCCTAACCGTGTGACTGAATTGCTGCAATCTCATGATAAAACTTTAAAGAACGAGATGTTGATTCTTATGGATGAGCAAAGAAAAAAAATTCTTGAGATGGAATCTACTCCTGATGAAGATACTGTGAAGGTTATTGAAATAACAACAAAGATTCTAGAATTTTGCATAAATGTAGTTGATAAAGCAGTGGGAGGGTTTGAAAGGATTGGCTCCAATTTTGAATAAAGTCCTACTGTGGGTAAAATGCTGTCAAACAGCATCACATGTTACAGAGAAATTTTTCATGAAAGAAAGATTCAATTGATGCAGCAAACTTCACTATTGTCTTATTTTAAGAAATTGCCACAGGCACCTTAACCTTCAGCAACTACCACCCTGATCAGTCAGCAGCCATCAACATTGAAACAAGGCCCTTAACCAGCAAAAATATTAAGGCTCAGATGATGGTTGGGATTTTTTAGCAATAAAGAATTATTTAATTAAGGTTGTTTTTAAGAAAATGCTATTGCCCTCTTAATAAACTATAGTATAGTGTAAACATAACTTCTATAGGCACTGGGAAACCAAAAAATTTGCGTAATCAACTTTATTGAGATGTTCACTTTATTGTGGTGGCCTGGAACTAAATCAATATTTTCTCCAAGGTATGTCTGTAGTCTAACCTTATATTTGTCATCACAAATATAAATATTCATTAAGAGCTACTGTGTACAAGCCAGTGTCTGGTAGGACAAACACAATAAAACCTTAAATCTTCATTATCACTACCACATATATATTGAGTGCTCTTTTTTGCATGAAATGGAGTTGACAGTTGATGCACTAAAATCTAGACGTCTTAGAACACTGTTATAAAACACTCCTAAAGATATATAAAAATCAAACAAGAATTTGCTCAGGGCTTTTGAGTATAAAGTATTAATTTGCTCATTCACTGACATACTGGGTGCTGGCCATATACCAGACCTGAGACAGTGCCAGAAATACAGTGATGAGCAAAACAAGTCCAGGTCCTGTCCTTGGGATGGTAACAATCTAGTAGGGTTTTCTCATAATTTGCTTAATTTGATTCTCATACTCACCCTGGGAATGGGTATTATTATTATTATCACTGTTTTCAGGAGAAAACTGAAGCTTCTTGATGGGAAATGTCATTCCTTGCATCACACAGCAGACAAAACTGTTTGTTTTGTTTTGTTGCTATGACATGATGATGTATGTTGGCCTATATGTTGGCCTGGTCCTTCTCTCAAGAAATGTACCTCTGCTCCTATAATGAAAGCCTGTGGGAAAGTGTGCATGAAGTTCAGCTTCTCTGAATGATATCTAGTGTGTGAAATAAGACTGAGTATAAACTTGAAAGTTTTTTCCCCAAATAGAACATTTGGCTCAGGAATTTAGCAATTGGATCTCTAGTCCTCTCACCACCTCTTATTGTTTGTTGAGTGGTAAAGGTGTGAATTGTATCTTTAATGCCTTCTGGCCTCTTCTTTATAATCTTCTTTTTCTCCACCTATCCCCCAAGAGGAGACTTTACTATGCTAATATGCCTTGTGGATCTCCAAGTAGAGGAACAAAGCATACATTGGTTTTCTTATCTTTTGACCCATTTATTTTTGTCTCCTATTATCTTTTAAGCAATGTCAGCTAAGGGATCATTTAGTAACAGTTTAAGATGACAATAATGTCTCAAAGGAAAGGAGTTCTGAAAGGATAGGTGAGGAGGTCAATGATTTTATGTATGCACTCTCCCCTCAAATCAAAGCACACTTTGGCTTTCTTTTCTGCTCTTAGTTTTAGCTTTGTTCCATTAACCTCCCATGAAGCTATAGTCATTAGAGTAAGGTATTTGTGTTACACCCACATCATGAACTTCTGGGTGCCTTTGATACACAATCTTATAAATCCTTACTACAGTCCCAACAGGTAGTACCTGGTATAAAAAAGAGGAAACAGAAATTGCCCTTATATCTCCCTCCCCTCCTACTTCCTTTTTAAAAATAACAACATGGAGACTTAAACAAAGATTTACAGATGGGTTAAGTAAATAAATCACCCAACTAAAAAGCATTGCCCTTAAGATTTGAACTCATAGCTCTCTGGCACCACAGTCTGTGCCTTTCCATTTATATTAGCACTTCCCACTTCTCTTCATACAAACAGACTTGAGTTCCATCAGGTATTGATAATGTTATCCCTCCAAAGGCAATTGTGATCAAGTACATTTGGTAAAAAGTAGACACACTCGATTCCTTTGGAGATTGACAGTGTGTATTTAGCAAGTTATGCTTTTAAGAAGTCCTACTGGATAGAAACAACAACAACCTGTTCATTTAGCTTAACATAGCATTTGAGTTTCCTCTCCCTTCCTGGTTTAAACATTTTCAGTATGATAAAGAAAATTGGACTATGCAATGCATCAATCAAAACAATGAGAAAACTTGGACAACCACTAGACTTGGATAAAAGAGTTCCCAATGGAGCCAGGGTTATTGTCTGGGTCAAGATGATCTTCTGGAATCTAGAAGGCAGTGTTAGTGACAGTCTTAGGAACAGAAAATGCCATGTAGTGCAAGGAAAAGTTCCTTTAAAACAGAGAAATGTCTAAGGATCCCATTTGGCCAGAAGTACTGTGC